AAAAAAAAAAACAGAGTCAGCACGATTTCAAGTAGAGCTCCAATTCCATCTTCTCCTACCGAATCCGGACCCGATTCTACACCCAATTCTAATACGACAACCTGGCCGGAGCCCTTTTTCGGATCTTTCCTGACGGGCTTTCGGAGCTCGAACCTTTCTCATGGGCCGCCTCCTCCTCCTCCTCTCAATACGACTGCGTTTTCACCTGTAACGAAACATTTTCATCCTGCAATTACGAAAACCAAATCCCAACCAATTTTGAGAATATTTTCATACTGTCATACACTTTGACTGTTATTTCCACAAAAAAAAAAAAAAAACGGCATTTTTGTTTTTCATACGAATAACTAATTAACAGAGAAATTAATTAGAATAATAAAATAAAATGAACGATAATCAATCATACACCGGAAAGCTCATGATCGGTAACTACCGCCTCATCGTCGACTAGAGACGGTCAACGGCCGCTCGAAGAACATTCCGACGCCTGCGGAGACGGAGGAACCACTCGAAACTCCTTCCGACGCATTCCTCCGCGGAGACACAGCTGACAGACGGCGACGGTAGGTCTGAGGCTGGATCCGGCGGCGGACCACGGCGTCGGCGACTGGCAGACGTGGCAGAGGAGGTTCCTCGAATGCCGCGCCACCAAGAAGTTGGCGGAGTGCACCTTGGCGTCGCAGGTCCAGCACAAGCTCGCCTGGTCCGGCCCGCAGTGTATCCGCGCCGTTTCTTCACACAGATCGCACTCCTTCTTCATCTTATGCGAGAAATCGTCAAAACCGCGCGCAAAATAAAGAAAAAATGTAAGGTTGAAGAACAGAGGTTAAAAACACACAAAATGTGTGATTAGATTGTTGACAGAAAAGAGGAAGTAAAATTGGAAAATTCTCTCTGTAGACTCTAATTAATTCACCTTACAGTCAAACCGACCAAAACCATTAACGACCTAAATTTCTAAATGAAAGTACGAAAATATCACAACCATTTTATTATTTTGGACTCATTGGGAAAAGTGAATAGTTAACGAAGATGACTTATATGAGAGAGGGCAAAATGGGAAACTTGAACACTGTGCAGTAGATATTTTGGAGCACGACTAGGGGTGAGCGTGGGTCTCCCAAAATTCGATCTCCATAACTGTACCAAAAAATCGGTTCGGTTCGGTTCAGTTTGAAGATTCTTATTTTTCGGTTCGGTTCGGTTCGGTATGGTTTGGTTCGGATCTTCGGAGATTTTTTATGTTTTAAAATTATTTTTGAATGACTACCTAGTTATATTTTAATTTTTATATAATTTAAAAAAACAATATACATCAATAATTCATCATATTAAGATTTTATTTTGAAATCAATTCTAGAAGTAACTCTAAATATTAGTTATTTAATTTTTATATGCTTTATAAAACTAACATTCATCAGTATTTTTTCACATTAAAGATTTTATATTGAAATTACTTTATAAGTAACTCTAAATATTAGTTATTTAATTTTTATATGCTTTATTAAACTAACATTCATCAGTATTTTTTCACATTAAAGATTTTATATTGAAATCAACTTTATAAGTAACTCTAAATTTTAGTTATAACTAAATTTGTGCAACTAAAATTGAAAATTTGAAATTCAAATAAAATATAATATTTTTTTCTTAAAAAAATATTTTTTAAACTTTCATATTATTTTAAATAATTTATTTTGTAATAGAAAAAATTCAATTGTAGATCAAGTATTATTAAGCATGAAATTTAAGTGAAGGTTAATATTTATTACTATATTATATAGAATCAAAATTGACATATAATTTATTAATAACACATCTAATGTTATAATTCGGTTTTTAATTTCGGTTCTTCGGTCTGGTACAGTACGAGACGGTTCGGTTTGGTTCTCGGTACGGATATTTGTAAAATCTTCAGAACCGTACCAATTATTTTTTCGGTTCGGAGAAAGTCAAACGGTCAAAGGTTATTTTTCGGTTCGAAGTAATTTCGGTTCAATTTTCGGAATCGTTCGGAATTCTCCGAGTCTCAAGCTCAGCACGAGGGGTGGCGACTCTAGGAACGACAGCGTTTCAGGGAGCGAGTGACTGAATGGTGAATGGGGGCGCCAGGTGTCGGCAGCTTAAGGAGGGACGATTTTTCACTTGTGCGGTGTGGGAGTAATGTGTGGCTATAAAGTGGTGGGTTTTTATCATTTGTGGTGATCCTCAGTAGTTCGTTGTATGATGACGTGGCGGCATAATGAGTGGTGTGCGGATTACGTGGAGGATGCTGGGCTACTAGGACCCACGAGACGTACTAACTGCCAAAATATAATAATAAATTAATAGTTATGTTAGTCAGCGTTTATGTTCCACCACGACTTTGATGGGGTGGCGGTTGAGCACTTCGTATGGTGCGTAATGTGGTGGCATTGTCTTTTAAAATAGGTTTTGGGATTAATTTTTTTAAGTATTGTTCAAAATTTTAACTTAAAATTTAATTTAACCTAGTTCTCTTTAATATTTTATTATTAATATAATTAAATGGGGAAATTACATTATAACACCATACTTTTTTGGGATTGTATCGAATTTTATTCTTTTTCATATTCTCAATTTGAAACCCACTTTTATATTTTCACTTATCAAGCTCAACTAATTAAAAAAATATTATGTTACAAAAATATTATTTTTATATTTTTTTTTTATTTTACATGCTTATAAAAAAAAATAAAAAATTATACAAACAAATTGTATTATTAAAGATGACACGGCTTTCTATTTTCGAGATGAAGTTCAAAATATAAGAAGCGGAAAGGAGGAGATATGGATGAAGAAATATGTGTCTCTAAATGAGTCAAACTTGGAAAGTTACAACTATTAAAAAGCAAAAGGTAGATAGGGTGCAACTTGGTATTTACAAAAGAAGTTGAATTTCATAGATGTTTTCTACAACACAAAAGTGATGACTAAAGACTACATTCAGAATGTATGAGATGATTATAATGTAGTGTTTTTTCTCTAGCTATCAAGCACTCTTTTAATAGAACTTAGCAATACAATTACATTCGGAGCTAGCTCACAACTTGATGTATAGACAAATTTTTTGCACGACGATTTGGATGAGGAGATTTACATGACACAACCAGAAGGATTCAAAGTCGTTCTTGAAAAATAGAGTTGAGTCTGTAAGTTGAACAAATCATTGGGCGAATTGAAACAAAATTTCTAAGGCAGTGTTATAAAAGATATGAGAAGTTCTTGATTGGGCAAAGTACACGTGAAACTAATGTTATCATTGTGTGTATTTACACAAGTTATATTATTGATCTTTCATTTACCTACCTCTGAATGTAATTGGCATATTGGTTGCATCAAAGAAGCAAGTAGAGATTTATCATTTAAAGGTTCAGTTGAATCAAAAATTTGAGATTAAAGACTTAAAAGAAGTAAAGTAAATACGCGATATGGAGATAAATAGAGACAGAACGAGAGGCTAGATTTACTTGACTTAGAAGCAATATCACGCTAAGGTATATATACATCGTTTCGACATAAAGATGAGATGAAGCCTATAAATACACTATTCGACTCTCATTTGGAGTTAAGTGCCCAATTATCGTCGAATTGTGACGAAGAACGAGAACATATGGTTAGAGTCCCATATGCAAACAAAACAAAAAAGATATATTCGATTGTTATTTATAACAAGAGAATTAATGTAGAGACCCAACGAGTTCTTACTTTTCATCTCCCATTGCACGGACAGGGCAGCTAGCGGATTAAGGAAAATTTGGTATGCATGGAACCAGGTGGTCTTAATCTTACATGCACATCGCCACCTGTTGTCATTACCTTGCCAAATGTTGTTTGAGTTTGACCTATTTATTAACCAATAATCTCTACACTCGATCTCTTCATGAGACCATTTTCACGTACTGCACAAAAACTAAATCCAAAATAGTTTCTAGACTTTTGAGATAATATAGAAGAATTAATAATTTTCTTTTGCCGCCCTTGTGGTCTTACCCGGCTCGATTCTGGATTAGTCGATTTCCCTGTGGATTCGGAAATCGGAAGGTCCATGTACCAAAAAAATAATAATAATAATAATAATTTTCTTTTGCATATATATGATGGATACAATAAGCATACTCTTTCTTCTGCTCTTACCACTCTTCTTCATCACCCTCTACGCCATAGTCCAACACCTAATCCACATGCTCCTCAACCACCACCCGCCCACGCCTTTCCCAAACTTACCCCTCATAGGCCACATCTACTTCTTGATCACCAGGCCCGTACCCCTCCACCGGGCCCTGGCCCAAATCTCCTGCCGCCGCGGTGCAATCGTGCTCCTCCAGCTGGGCTCCTGGCCGGTCCTCCTCATCTCGTCACCCTCCGCGGCCCGTGACTGCCTGTGCCTGTCCATTAACGACGCAGCCTTCGCCGACCGGCCCGATCTCCTCAACGGCCGGCACTTTGGGTACGGATTCACCAGCCTCGCGTGGGCCCCATACGGCCACCACTGGCGTAATCTCCGCCGCATCTCGGCCCTCGAGCTCCTCTCCTCCCGGAGACTAAACGCCAGCTCGGGTTCTCGGGCCCACGAGGCCCGAGCCCTGGTCACCAAGCTAGCGGGTTATGGTCGCGGCCCGCCCGGACTGCAGGCCCTGTTTTTCGAGTACGCTTATTGTGTGGTGAAAGGATGATTTTCGGGGATTTCGACCGGGAGAATTCATCGGAGGCCGGGATTTTTATGGGGATTCTGAATGAAATGGCGGCTGTGACGTTCAAAGCTAATGTCGTCGATTTTCTGCCGTTGGTGGGGCGGTTTGGGTTTGGGGGAGCTGTGGAGAGGAAGCTGAGGGCTGTGCAGGAAAAGAGGGAAAGTTTCGCGGAGAATTTGATTGGAATGTATCGCCGGAGAATTCGTATGGCTGACGATGGCGGCAAAAAACAGAGGAGTTTGATCGGTGTTCTGTTGGATTTGCAGAGAGCTGAGCCAGAGTACTATACAGATGAAGCTATTCGAAACCTTCTCTTGGTAACCATTTTCTCTTGGTAACCATTTTGAAATACTATAACTAAATGAATGCGTGTGAGATCAAAACATGTACACTACGCTATATGCTCAAACTCTACGGTTAGCAGTCTAACAATTAGGCAAGTCAGCTCATACATTTTGAACAAAATTGCGTGCAAAATGTCATACTTCTCAGTATATTGTTTTTAAAGTGACATTCAAGTAAAAAAATATGTGATTGTATAATGGTGCTTAACAGGAACATTACTGTACTACATTATGTTGATCTTAATAGGTACTAATCCAAGGAGCATCTCATACATCTTCAACCACGCTCGAGTGGGCGCTCTCGCACCTCCTACGAAATCCAGATATCATAAAAAGAGCAAGAGCCGACATCGACAAACTTGTCGGCCAGCACCGCCTCATAATCGAATCCGACTTGTCCGAACTCCCATACCTCCAATTCATAATCAACGAGACACTACGGATGCACCCGGCAGCCCCACTCCTAACACCTCATGTGTCGTCCGAGGACTGCATAGTCGGAGGATTCCAAGTTCCACGTGGCACGATGCAGCAAGCAGAGAGAAATTTACGAGACCGGAAGTAGCCGATTATGCTTCCATGATGGCTTTTGTGTACAGTATGGTGAAACAAGATTATGCCATGCATGTCCGAATAGTGTCCTCTCTAAGCTACAAGTCTTCTTCGTCTGAGGAGCTGGAGACTTATTGCCAAATGTGGCCTTTACGGCCGTTTGTGGATGATGACGTGATGCAGCAAGCTTGGGGTCTTGTTTCGTGACCCTAAGTTTTGCATGTTTCTGGGGTGTGATTTTTATTGCGAGTTTAACCTTCAATTTTTGTTGATTGGAGCAGACTAGAATGCCCTCCAACTAGTGTTTTGGACCTTAGGGCGGCTAGAGGACACTTGTTCGGTTCTTTGTTTGTTTAGTTTCATGAGACTAATTTCGCTGTCATTTGTTCATTTCTGTTTTGAATGCATATTCTGCAAGTATTATACAAAGTGTGGCTGAAACTCTTTGGAATTAATATCTCTTTTTGTTTCTGCAAGAGCTCCGGAGATATCACTTCTGCTAGAACATAACCGAAGATGATGAGACAAATTCAAGGTAAGAACAAAGCTACTTTCACCTTTTTCTAGTTATTATATGTTACTGGGAATCTAATGATTCATAACTGTTTACAGCGATCATCCTTTCATAATCATAAAATATAATAAAATCTCCCCTACTTCTAGAGGGCTTCCAGTAGTTGCCGCAACCCAAGTACACACGCCATTCCCCGGATCCAATGTTGAAAGGAGACCAATAGGTCTAAATCTCCCAAAGGATATCCTTCCCTTTTCTCTCCCTAAAAATATCTCTCTCGGCCAAAGAGAAAAATCAGAAATCCCCCGCCCCTTTCTTATCGACCGACCGACCGACAACAGCGCGCCTCTTTTCCTGGCCATGCTTGGACCGGGGACGACAATTTTCTTCTTCACCCCAGCTGTTGCCATGGATTGTTTGCTGGATGGCGGCGACCTTCTCCGTGTCGCCCCTTTTTCCGGCCATGGTTGGGTCCCGCGACAGAGGCTTCCCCCGACAAGGCTTAAGGCTTCTTTGGCTTCCGGTCTCTACCCCGTCTATGGGCTTTTGGAACTCAGATATGTTTGAGTCTCACTTTCCTCCCAGATCTGCATAGTTTTTCGGGTTTGATCGGAGTTTACTAGTATGAGAGCTTTAGTTCTACTAGTCTCATTTCACCTTTAGATTTGGGGGGCTGGGGACCGGTGTATTCAGTTTGTATTTTCCAGTGTTTAGACTTTAGAGTATTGTTGTCTATCTTTGTGAGAGTATTGGTGGTCCCCTTGGTTGTCGAGGAAATCCCAATGAAAATCCGAACTTTGAACAAATTCAAAATCTACTTTATATATTTATTTATTTTTTTATATATTATTTTTGTTTGAGGAAAAAAAATGAGCTTTTAAAAGGAAAAGATAGAAATTTTTTTTGTCTAACACAAGTCAATGCATATACTTAAATCTAAGAAAAATGAAACAACGTTTATAAATGTGCTCTTACTCTACTGTTCACATCTCACAATCAAGAAAAAAAAAAAAATGCTTCACCCACCATTCACAGCAGGCCTTTTCCTAGTCACCCGAATGTAGCAATAAACAGCAGCCAAAACGGCGGTGACGAGGCCGCCGATGATGACACCTCCGCCTGCAGCCGAGTGGTGTCTCCCCAATTCCCCGCCGTCCAACACCGTCGGAGCTTCAGCCGCACTTTCTCTCCCTTCAGCGGCGCCGTCGGCCATTACCCTCGGCGGATCCGCTATGCCGTGCTCTGGTTGCTGGAGCAGAGTCCGAGCCCGAATCCTCGGGATACCCGGGCCGGGCTCTGAACCGACACCCAACCCGCCGGCCCGTGCGTGGAGGATTAGGAACAGAGCTGATAGTGTGAAGAATGCGAGCAAGAATCTACTGCCCATGATTCGGTAAAATGCCACACCAAAGGAGATGATTATTTTGTTTTATATTTTATTATTTTTCTTTGGTTATTGATTTTTATTATGTCTTTTGTGAAGAGGAATTTGTCTCTGTCTGAAACGAAGCCTCTATATATATATAGCAAGATCAGTTGGGGGTGGGTAGAAGGGTAATATGGGGCCTTGACAAATATTGTTATATCTTCGTGTTTTGCTGTTGTATTTCTGTCTTTTAGGAACATAATTTTAATTATGTTATTTATTTTTTTATTTTTTATTTAAACCAGACAAATAAAATGGGTTGATGATGTAGAACGTGATACAAACGAGAGAAGGTGCAAGATACTCTCTCGCAGAAAAGTTCACAAACGCAAATAATTTCTTCAATTCAATTAACGACTAAAAGTCACAATCCTAACCAATATAAATAACAATAAGAGTCCTAACCTTCTAAATTTCTTGCCTAACAAGTGCAAGATAATTATTCTTAGATATCCTAGATAAGAAAGGAAATAATAAAAAAGAAAGGAAATAATATATAAAGGCTAAATAATTAAATGCATTAAATTCGGAGACGATCGTATTTATTTAAAAAGACGATCACGGTCTCGTCTCCATCAATTGATATTTAAAAAAATATGCTTAATATCAAGTTCATAAATGGCAACCAAACGGCCCATAACGTGAAATCCTCAAGTGTTCCACCTTGCTGGCCGGATCCAAGTAGCAAAATAAAGGTCAAGAGCAATAATGCTAAAGAGCCAACAGTCAATGGGACAGCTTATTGTGGAACTGTTCCACATGGCTCCAATGGAGGATAGTCCACATGGAGCTGTCCCATTGATTGTTGGCTCCGTGACGGAGCCACCAGTTGGCTCTTTAGCATTATTGAGGTCAAAGAGAGTATATACTTTCCGAAAAGAGCAACAGTTTAATGTGTTGTTGATTAATTCGAGCATGCATATGCAGATGTTAATTCCGATAAAATGGGTACATTATTTCAAATCTGACCTTTGACAAAATTGAAGACAAATAAAACACACGAATATTGGCCCAGATATTTATTTGACCCAAGACTTAATAATCTACACAAAAGTGCCTTTAAAAATATTCATGATTTCTAAGGTTCATGATTTCTCATAGAGATTATCGCGTACCTACTTTGATATAAGAATTGAATTTTTGCCTCCTTCACATTGCAATATACAATAATGTTTGTGAGATTAATGTAAATGTTGCTATCAATCAGCAAAGACGAAGTGCGTAGTTTATCAATTTTAAACTACATTTATGCCACAATTTACGCAATATGATATAACCATACTTGTGAACCGGAGTCAAGCATGAAGAGATCCAAGTGCAATCGAGGAAGAGTGACCGAGGAGGTCTAGACGAGACTCGAAGGTCTCGGTGACTAAGAATGAGTAGCTCATCACGACTAAGTATGGGGAAGTAAAGATACTCTATGTTACTAAGTATGAGAAGCTCTTCACGACTAAGTGTGGGGAAGTAGAGGTGCTCTCATCTACCTGCTAGAGGTCACTCACTTCTACCTGCTAGATGTCACTCACCTCACCCTGCTAGAGGTCATATCGTCTACACTTGCTAGACTTGCTTGAGGTCGTCTCGTCTACACCTGCTAGACATGCTAGAGGTCGTCTCGACCTGCTAGACTTGCTAAAGGTCATCTCGTCTACACTTGCTAGACTTGCTTGAGGTCGTCTCGTCTACACCAGCTAGACATGCTAGAGGTCGTATCGACCTGCTAGACTTGCTAGAAGTCATCTCGACTACACTTGCTAGACTTGCTTGAGGTCGTCTCGTCTACACTTGCTAGACTTGCTTGAGGTCGTCTCAACCTGCTAGACTGCTAGAGGTCATCTCGTCTTAACCTGCTCGACTTACTAGAGGTCTCTGCTACTAGACCTCCGCTGCTGGAGGTCTTCGTTGCTAGACTTCCGCTGCTAGAGGTCTCCGTTGCTAGACTTCCGGTACTAGAGGTCTCTGTTGCTAGACTTCCGCTGCTAGAGGTCTCCGTTGCTAGACTTCCGCTGCTAGAGGTCTCCGTTGCTAGACTTCCGTTGCTAGAGGTCTCCGTTACTAGACTTCTGTTGCTAGACTTCCGCTTCTAGAGGTCTTCGTTACTAGACTTCCGCTGCTAGACCTCCACTGCTAGAGGTCCAAGTGACTACAAGAGCATGATCTAGAGGCAGTAAATGGATAAGAAGGAATATGATGATGACTAAGAAGTGAGGGGAGACGAACAGACCGGGGTATTTCGAACATTTCAGGTAGACCGACTAGGACATTTTGGGTACTTCACGTAAGTGTTTTCTCCTATATAAAGGGGATGAGATAACCCTAATCCCGCTGCTCTCTAGGAGCAGCCTCTCTCTCTCTCTCTCTCTCCCACATTCTACACACTTCTACATACATTATAGCTCTAGACTACAGAGCTTTCCTCTTCCTCTCTTCTGCTTACTAACTTGAGCGTCGGAGGCCCGACGCTGGGATCTCTCCCGGCGTTGGGTTCTTGCAGGTACTCGCGACGGTCTAGAAGTGATCTAGACAGATCGGAGCTTATCTCAACCGGTTCACTCCAGATCTAGGAGGCCTAACAAGATCATTTTGTATCACTCCAAATTTTATGAAGTTGGATATATTTTATCGGCAAATGCTAAGGTCTCGTTACGAGTTGGTACCGTCAGCATTTTTCACAATTAGATACGCATGTAGGTTATGTTGTGTGGATAATCAACGGTACCAAACACTGACTGAACAATTCCGTCAACGGGACCTTAACATTCCCCTATTTTATCACTTTATTTCGTGGGTATGGGTGGAGATTCTCTTTTCTATTTTGTTTTTAGCATCAGCTTACAATTGTGGTAAAAAAAGAAAATGTTTAAATTGTTTACTCCCTTGTATGGTTACTGGTGGATAAAATTTTATTTATTGTTGTCGTTACCACTAAAACTATGTTTGGTAAGACTAAGTAATAACTGATAAGTTAGTTGATGGTAAAAAAAAAAAAAAATGTTTAAATTGTTTACTCCCTTGTATTGTTATTGGTGGATGAAATTTTATTTATTGTTGTCGTTACCACTAAAACTATGTTTGGTAAGACTAACTGATAAATGATAAGTTAGTTGATAGTTTGTAAGTGAATTTCGAATTTAATCTTATGGCTTTATAGCTGAAAAACGATTTGTTAAGATAAAAGTATTCGATAAAATCAACTTATAATCTATCCAAAAAAGCTCATGAGATAAACTCGAACTTCGACGTCCTTCCAAACCAAACTAATTAACATTGCGGTTGGAGATTGGACCATATGACGACATTATTGGAAGTGTATATGAACCATCATAATAAAATAATTTGAATAGACTCGTAATGGCTTGCTCATTAACTAACAATTAGCAAATTAATTAAAATCATCTACATTTGTGACAGTTAATTAAAGTGTCCGTTTGAATAATTGTGAATTGAGCCTTGAGCACTGCTGGGTAGCAAAAGGTGGTGATATATAATATATGTACATTAATTTCAGGGTCATTATCATGTTTAAAATTATTGATAAGCACTTTATTCAGCGAGTTACCTAATAATAATAATAACTAGTTGTTGACCCGTGCATTTGCACGGAGAGCTAGTCAATTAATTTCCATTTTC